TTGAGTTAATTGAAGTTATCAAACGTAAAACACAGATTATTCTTCTGTTAACTTTTCAACGAACTCCAAATTTCAAGTTAACCAAGTTGCCTACTTTTTAAACTTTACAAGCTGCATAATTTGTGTTATGTTTATACGTGCGTTACGTTTCAAACGTATTGTTTCATTCCAAAACGTCAAAATACATTAAGCAAGAATACAAGTTTTGGTTTTGTTTCCATTTAAATGTATATGACATATACATTTTACATATTTTTCCTTCCCGTGTGGGTCCTGATGATCGTGGCCTTGCACCTCATGCCAGCAGCAAATTGCACCAACATTGCCACATGCGCAAAAGAAAAAAATCGTTCGGAATCGCTGGGAAAGAGAAGCTTTTTTGACACCACCGAGGTGGAGACACGGCCTGCTGCACCAGCACAGCCGCTTGCCTCTGCCGTCGTTTTCTGCGGCTTCTTTCGGTAATATCTGAGTTCAGTTCGGAAGACTAAAGTCGCCCCCGAGGAGTAGTTGGGGGCGAACATGGAAACAAATCAGCGGTCAAACACACGCCGCAGAGCCACGATTCAGAACTCACGAAACGTCACGCAGAACAAGGTTAGTATCCTTTCGCATACCTGCTGGGGAATGAGGTCATGTATGGAGAGACTGGCGCTTATGTGCTTCTACAAAAAGGCCAGATCACTCAAATCAGAGCGTTTAGGGCACCGAGAGGAACCAAGTCAGGACGGAAACGGCCTCGTGGTGAAATGAAACAGGAAACAGTGATTGGATGATATACTTTTTTCTGTCAGTGGTCTGTTGTTGATAACTGACACAGTAACCACGTAAATCCGCGTTAATCCTATACTAATACTGTGCGCCTGTTAAAACGCTGCGGAGTGCCTGTCAGGCTTCGGGGAGTCGTTGATTATTGGCCCCTTGATTTGACAAGAACCAAAAAATACCTGATATATATTACTTCACATTGCAAAGGAATGGTAGCAGAAAAGTTCCATGTAGACCCCTGATTCTCTGTGTGAGTTCATCTGAATTGGTGAGCAGTCGAGATGTCACTTTTTATTTAAAAGAAAATGTTAGAAAATACAAGAAACATCCCAAAACGTAAGGCTGTTTGACTTGCGTGAAAACACTTTCAGCGTTAAGTAATATGAACTAAATCCACTATAAATGTTAAGTTGGTGGAAATAGGTTATATTTGAATACTAGTCTGCAACCATGCAAATGCAGCTACAATTCTTCTATTGCATTTCTTGCTACTGGAGCTGAATTCTGTGTACGCGATGGTGCTGGATACGTAGATCCATATAAGGTGCATACTAACTTGACCTTCAAGTTGTGCTTTGCTCCCGCCCACCAGGACGGGCCCAATGCAAAGGGGGTGGTGGGGGGTGGAGAAGGGGGAGGGGGGTCATCGTATTCCTGGTGAAGTCAAATGCTATCTGTTTCATTTTTGTACTTTTTCACCAAAAAAAATAAATAAATAAAAAATAGTGCAACAGGACCAGGCTTCATAAGCTCGTTAAAAACATTTTAGAGTCTTTTCTATTCAGTTCGCATTATGGAGAACATCTATATTTGCTAATTTAGTCCAGAAAAAAATGTCTGACGGTGTATTTTTTACAATCTTTTTATGAGGTCATGTTTGATCCATCGACCCTAAAGCCTCGTTGTATGTTATGTGATTATGACCGAGCCCGGTACAAACTAGCTACAGGTCACCTTATTGCTGTATTGTTTATCAACAACTTACCCGACCGTAATGAGTTTGCCTTAATAGGTTAAGTCATAGCGGTGGACGCGTGGGTGCCATTGTGAAAGGCTTAATGCACTAGCTTAGCAATTACATACTCTTAAAAAAACAAAATAGTGAATTCTAAAAAGTGAATGTAAATTTGGTCCATTATTTGGACATTTTGTACCGTTTCCAGCTCTGGGTGTTGCCTTAAAGCACCGACGCATATAGTGGCCTTTTTGCACATTGAAAATAATGAGTGTGCAGTAATAGTTACATAAATTTAACACCCTGTGTATTTTCTTACATGTGAAATAGAATTCTGCACATAGAAATTCACAGCCATAGCACAGCCAAACGGCAAAGGTTTGAATATTTATACACCAACGCCAAGATTCTGTAGGTGCGCACCACCTTTAAGCAAAGCAGTTCAGCAGACCTCAACAAGTCTGCTACTTGCCAACAGACCGAGACGTTAAATAACCCCAGCGTAATTTTCAATGGTTTTTATCGTCAAATCTCCAAGGGAGGTATGAATAATGAAAAGAGCTAAATGCGTTTCGCGTCTATTTCCTCGTGTCCGTACGCACGACGAGTGAACGATTATTTAGCCTCTAATAATAATAATAATAATAATAATAATAATATAATAATATAATAATAATGAAGCATGACAGCAACATCTAATTGATGTTGTACTTAAAGTCGTGTTGTGCAGAGCTGTGTGGAAAGCCAAATTTTAAATGAGTTCAATACTCACTTAAAAATGAACATAATGCTATAGCAAAGTTTACAATGAGGGGAAACTGCGTGGAAAGTATTTAGATACTTTTGTTTTTGTTATTTAATACGCTTCTAGCGCATACATTCATAAGCGCTTCATTTCATTTTAGGCCTAATATTTACAGTTTTCAAACTGACATACAAAGGTCTGTTTTTAATCAAAAGTGGTCAAGTGTTGACATTTTACCTTTATTTGCATAAAAAAGTGACAGCTATGATTCACTGAAAAGCTTGGATGTGTCAAGACGTGTTGGTAAATATGTAATAACTTCAACACCAAATTAAACATACATACATAGCTAATAAAACCCAAGTTTACATACACATCTCTCTCTCTCTCTCTCTGTCTCTCTCTCTCTCTCTCTCTCTCTCTCTTACTCTCTCTCTCTCTCTCTCTCTCTCTCTCTCTCTCTCTCTCTCTCTGTCTCTACTCCCACACTCACAACTCAAGAATTTGACGTGGATGCATATACTGGAGGTGAGGTGGGGGCGACCGAGGGCTTGCTAGACCACATGACAACACAAGTTCTGTGTGAAGGGCACGGTGGAGCTCAATGACCTCTGAGCCGGGGAGACAAGCCCCCATAAACAGATTGAGCCAGTCTCAAAGTCAAAAGCGCCGCAGCGCATAAAATGGCATTGTTAAGATTGAAGCGCTCGCGCTTAGAAAGAAGCTCAGGCCCATATAGGCCTACTTGACATAGACCTGCACAGTTAACTTATGTCCAATTATGTTTTTTTTATATGTATAAATCCACTGCGGCAAAATTGTAGCTAACTGTTGCGGCCAAACATACCAGTACTGCCAAAATCAGTTTTCCAACATTTCCCTATTAACTAGAAAACCACATACCTTTATAATAGTATTTTATAGAAATATTGAGAAGACTAACATTTTATTAAACGACATTAAAAGACATTTATCCATAGATACAAGATCTTGGTGGTCCAAGAAAGCTGCCTTTAAGAAAAAAACGCGTGGGGGACACGTTGTTTCAGTAGTTTCAGACTTTGGATGATCCATTACGCACCAAAAATCTGGGCACAAATACAGCCGTTGTTTTCACTAGCTGGCGCTTTTGGTTGGTTTTGGGCGCTGGGGGCGAGTATCCACTAGGTGGATATCTTCACTTAGCCAGCACTGAAAGGCCTCGAATTGCAAGCCTTGAACGCTTTTACTGAAGTGCATTATAACACTGGTTTTGGTGATTGCTACGATTTTATGTAATTGTAGTTCACAAGATTCAAAAAGAGTTCAGACTTTCGCTGTATTTGCGCATCAGTGAGGCGCAGCAGCGGTGTGAGATCAGCAACATGGAACTGAATTTGTGAAATCTGATCGATAAGTGAAGTCAATAGGTGGTCGAACACGTTTTATTCGCAGGCAGGACGCCGAGGGCACGGCTGTAAGGTAAGTAGAGGCGCAAAAGTTACCGCCTTGTTTTGTTCCCAGATCAAACAGGGTCTCGTTTGGCTGGTTGAAGGCAAAAAGCCTGCTCGACTTATGTGTCGAAACATGATCTGCGGATGTCAGATTCTCTTTAATATCTTTTGGTAAAAATATCAGTATTGATACTATACTAAACAGGAAGGAGTGAGAAAAAGAAGCTGCGGGTTACAGTGAAGTTTATAGACTTTATTTATCAGAAACCTCAGGTTACACATACATCGATACATTCATGAATTCGTAACTTTATATACAGGACAGTTTTAGGTGATCACATTGAAGACAAACGGAACGGGGGAAAAAAGTAGAGCATTATTAAATGACAGGAACACAGGTACGCCGGGCTCCAACGCCACTGACAGAACATAACACGCTTTCCACAGTTTCACAAAAAGAGAACTCAAAGGAAAATGAAGGAATATGTATTGACAACATTATAAAGGAAAGGTAGCACCGATTAAGAAGTGTCAGAATTATCAACTTTGAATGTTGCTGTAATAATAATAATAATAATAATAATAATAATAATAATAATAATTATAAGAAGAAGAACAGCTTGAATTTTAAAGTTTAAATAACAGGGCTCATAAATAGGTTTCTAAACCACTTCTTTGTCCACACGATTAAGACATTCTTTTTTCAGTTTTGATAAAGTGTCTTGAAATAATGCATGCGCAACACTGAAACCTAAACCAGGTCGGAAAAAAATAATCGTCTCAATAGAAGCTAACTAGAGCCGTAATCAACATGCAGCAAATATAGAATTCTTATTTCCACTGGCATTTATTTGTTAGATTTATTTCTAGATAAGTAACATTTCAGACAGAAATGGCCTCCATTCATTTGGGAATATACATCGCCATCCTTGTTAGAGTCGTTCTGAATCCATTAGGTACATTTCCTTTTACTTTTCAACAACGTAATTCATCGCCATTGACATTTAATCATGCACTTCCCTCCCAAAAGCATTTCAGTGGCTTAATTAAGTAGGCCTAAACACTCCTGTCCAAACTCGGGTCAAGGGACGTGCAATTACGAAAGAAACGATCCTCCAGCATTACAGAACGCAATGGCACGACCCTCGCTTTTCACGAGGCTTAAATAGAATATGAACGTTGGTTTAGCAATAACAAAGCAGTGATAACCAGCTCTCCATCCGAGTCTGATTTCAGGCCGTGCGTAAAAGCAATGTGGGGCTTGAGAGAAATAAAAACACAGCACTGATCTTCTCACTATCGTGAGAACGAAAAGGATTTTCGAATAAGATTTCGATTTCGAGCCATAAAAACGCTGGCGTGCTACGCTGCGGTTTGATTTTCAAGTCTCTCAGATCCACCCGGCGGCCTTTTTTTTCGCCCGTGACCGTGAACGTGTCCGAGAACACGTGGGGATCACTGTGGACGAGATAAGAGTTTCATGGTTTTCACACAATATTAATCCCTGCAGCCCCTTCCTAGCAGTATATGCTTTTAGTGAAGGCTACACATGTGGCTCCAATGCAGTTCGGGAAACTGCTTACACAATGCGCTCGCCAATAGAACGTGAGGCCCACCATTGCTGGGGCTCTCCAATTATTTGTTGCGAACGCACAACAGACCCCGTTTACCTTCTGGACGACGCACCAGCAGATACCGTAGAGGCTCTGCAACCTAAGTAATAAATAGGTTCCATCTCACAAAGCATTTTTAATTGCCAGTAAAATTCAGGGTCGCTTTGGTGGACTTTCTCACAGCTTAATTGTGACTAAACGCGTAACTCGCCTTATATATTTATAATTGTGAAAGAGGAAAGTGGCTGAGAGCGTCTTCCAAATTGCGCGAGAAACAAACAAACAACAACAAAGAAATAAAACAAACATACACAACACAACACGCTGGACGCTCCAGCCACTTTACAGTGAAATAGTGGCTACAGCAGGTTAGGAGTGTTCCCCCCTGCTGTCATTTGGTCGCTTTGCCCCTGTATTGATTTCTGCATGCTTATGCACGTTGCCTTTTGACGCAAATCAATGCATGACGGGAGCAAATGAAGTCGTTTTTTTGAGAATAATACTGCCATATTACCCTCGCTGGAATAGTGGTGTGGGTGCTAACAGCTGAGATGTGCACGGCTCCTTAAAAGAAGGACAAAGCCTGCTCCCTCAGCAAAAGTCTCTTCTTCTTCATTCGCCGGTTCTGAAACCAGATCTTGACCTGTTGGTCGCTGAGGTTGAGCCGGTCTGACAGCTCCCTCCGCCGCTGCCTGGTGATGAACTCGTTCAACATGAACTCGCCCTCCAGCTCGGCCAGCTGTAGCTTCGAATAGGGTTTTCGCTTCTTGCGGGTCCGGGTGTGCATCGGGTACCAGGGGGCACCTAGAAGGAGGAGGGGGGGCAGAGCACGAATTAGATACCTCCAGCACAATAACTGACCATGACCTCATATCATCCTCATATCATCCTCATATTATGTTCATATTATGCTACTGGTTTATTGCGCTTTCATTGACAGCTTGCAGGCCTCCTTGACAACTGATGCTAAGGTAAAGCCAGGCTGATGAGGGGGAGTATCACCCAACTGCCTACACTTCCACTAATTTACATGTGTCCAATGAAGTTTTACTGTGTGGGTTAAAGCCACATTTACACCACAATTAAGTCTGTCTTACAAATAACCCCCCTTTACTTAGCACAAATATTAATTCGGTTTACGAGTCATTAAAACATGAACACTCTCTTTTGCTCCACAACTAACTTCATTTGGATAAGCTTTAGAAATTGTTGCACAGTAATATTAATAATGCACGGGTGTTGAAGGCAAAAAGGGTCCTGGCATGGAGACCGAGGGGGATTTTATGATGTTGTGTTTACTGGTTGTATAAATGACTAAACGCTAAGGCTGGTGAACGTAGAGCATTTTAGGGCAACCCCTAGTGGCGCTGATCCACCATGCAAGTCTATCCTGCAGACAAATCACTGCATCTGACAGCATATCCACAAGTACGCTCGCTCAGCTAAGAAGTTGAGCGCAGCAAAAGCAATGCGTGCACGTTCTGCAAACGACTCATTTAAACTAGAAGCTGCACGCTCGTCACCCACCTCCTCCTGTGGACATATTGCTCGTGTGGTTCCCCGGCGACACCAGGGTCTGTGGGTCGCTGCCCGAGCTTTTTCCTCCGTCGTTGAGCACTGACGAGCTGGAGTCGGACTCCAGAGACTGGCAGGACGGCGGGTTTTGGGTCAGATGCTCGGTGCCGTAGTCGTATTTGAAGGTGCCACCGTTGCCCATCCCATTGTGCACCCCGTGATCGGAAGATACTGATGTCTCCCGCGCCCTCTCCTCTCGTTTGAGGCTGTTGCCGTCCGAGCAAGCCTCTCGGCTCGCGCCGCCGTTGCCGTAATAGCACTTCTCGTCCGGCCGAGCTATTTCACCACACGAGCGGTTGAACGACGGATTAATGGACACGGGACTGCCGAAGTAGGACTGAGGATATCCATTGCACGACTCCGATGGGTTCCAGGGGAGGGAGCAGACATTGTCCCTTCTTGGGTACGAGAGAGACGGTAGCCCCGCCAGTTGTCCCCCTGAGGCTCTAAAATTCGGGAAGTAAAACGTGTCTCCAGTGTGGATGTTTACCAAAGGTCCCACAAACCCAGGATTAAGGAGATTATGCTCGCCCATTTCCGCGGGCCTGACCAACAGCTTCTAGTTTATTGCAATCTGACATTTAACATAGTTAAACCTGGGGGTGCACCTGATTGGCCATTGCCACGTCACGTGCAGGAGCCTGCTCGAACTCCAGAAGGCACCACCCACTTTGGTCTATTTGAGACAAAACAAAACATTAACTTCTGTATTACGGATTTTATATGCTTTTTAAAAATACTATAAAATATCTTATTAAAAAATGTAAAAAACTTGTCGAGTCTGCCTGTTCTCCAACGTTCGTCCTCTTTGGTAGGAATATACAGAACTGTCCCTAGCCTCGTTTAATATCTTTATTACCTGGTAAATGATCTTTAAATTCTTTTTTTTCCCCATACAAAAACTGTTCATTTTTCTTGACGCAGGGGTTCCTCGTGACATCTTGTTTTCGTGCAAATTACGGTTGAATTCGGTGTCATATAAAGCTGTGATGATCCACTTTTACAGGCTTGTTTTAGAGAAAGACTGATGCTCAGTGCTGCACTACACTCGTATTTACTGTAACGGGGTCAGCAGGTTGAAACCGTTGGCTCTGTAAAATCAGATGATATTCTATAAGGTTACTTTAAGAGCGTAGCCTATATTTCAAATAATGTGCTCTCGTACACCTCACATGAACAACTTTAACAGATACCCTCCATAAATACTCGCAGCCAAACTCTGGGAAGATTGTTACACATCTCGCAATTCTTTTATATGAACTTTACAAGCTAGTAGAGGGTATTTAAATGATCCAGCCGCCCCGAATGCACCACGCTAGATCACTTTAATTGATATGTGATTGCAAACACTGGAGACGCGAGAACGCAACTGCGCTTTGGCGCACGGCCTGTGCGTCACTGCAAAAGCCTGTGGAAGATTGCAAAAAAAAAAAATAATAAAATAAAAAAAAATACATGCACATGAATTGATCAGTAAAGAATAAAGTCGATGGTTTAACCTACTTCAAATGAGTCAAAGACTGGAGCACAAAATCCACTGTGTCTACACTAATGTGCACCATGCGCTTGCAGAATGTAAACTATGCATCCTACCATTTGTAAAATTCAGAGCAAGAGCTTGTTTCCTAAGGTATTAATTAGGCTACATTCTCACTAAAATTAGTATAACGGGTACTCAGCTCAATAGTGTGACCTACGATTCACCTTTTAGACGTTTTCTTATGGAGAATTAAAATTTTTCTTGTACAACAGTGTACGTGCGTGCGTGTGTGTGTGTGCGCGCGTGTGTGTAGTGTGAGTAAGGGGGGTGTTGGCTATTTGTTGCTTGTTAAACTTTGCTGAAATCACACGTTTCACTTCAAAATGGGAACCACGTTTTGTTGGCTTTGCAGCTTTACGTAACAGCATTACTAATAGTGGAATATTTCAGGCAACTTGTTTATATTTTGTCTTTTCTTTTAACACTCCTTTGTTTTGCCAAATTTAATGTTGGCGTAATACCACTGGCAGAGTAACCAAAAGAAAACAAGACAACAACTAGATGGAAACTATCCTCTTCCAGCCAGAGTGAATAATGTGGCCGAAGATAGAAGGTTTTTTACACCATAGACATGTCAATGAAGTTCAGCGCCTCGAAGCGTAGAAACGTCCAATGCTTTGAGCCACTCGCAGCTTATTCTATGTAACCTTAAAGATTTTTTACTATTTCAAGTTATCAAGTCCCATTTTAATAACTTTGAAAGTATAGATTCGATTGAACTTGAAGGATCCATTGATATAGATCTTACATAAGGACGCCCGTAAGTTTAGTTGCTCAAAAGATGAAAGAAAATTTTGGAGGAAGTCAGTGGCATTTGTTTAGCACGTCGATCCACCAACTTTGTTCCACGACAAAAGCCCTCGACTGCTGGAAACGATGATAAACCCCTAAAACCTGAAGACTAATTATTCTAATTAAGAAATTTCACTTACCGCAGGGATTGGAAAGCTTACAAAAATTGTCCAAAAATTGAAGAAACGCGCTGAAAGTAGCTGTTGTCAGTTCAAGGTCAGTGTCTAGTGCACTGTCTGCAGCGTATTGAGAAAGCTGTCTTGGTATTCCCTTCCCGTCCAGACAGGGCAATAGCGTAAACAAAGGCCTTTTTACTGGCTTTTATTTTCTAAAGGCACAGGTTGTCTCCCTTTTAAACGTGTAGCGGATTTCTTCCTGGGACTATTTCCCCAAAAGACTTAAACCTAAATCTAAAGTTCTGCACTCTAAGGAAATTACTGAAAATCTTTATTAAGAAAAATATTTTAAAGAAGAGATGTCTATGGACACATCAAGGCAATGGGGGATGCGTCTCATATTTCAAGCCACAAAAAATAAATAAAAATAATAAAATACAAGTAAGAGCACTTGTCAATAAATCTATGTCTACCATGTATTTCTTTGCGTAACGTTCCTAACGTGTTGAGAATAATTAGCTAATGTGTGCCTTTATCCATAACTAATTATAAAATGAAAATGTTGCATGAATAAAATTGTAAATTCAGAGGAATCCAATAGAACTGTAGTTTTTTTTTTTTCCCTGAAAGTTATCCTGGACGAAAACATAATAAATAAGGAATTAATAGAAAGGTTAAAAAGAAAACGTGGCGAAAATAAACATAAATCAGTAATAGGTCGAGTAAATGGCCAAAAGTTCTTTGTGGACCAGAATTTAATAACACCAACATTTTTAACAGCATGAGTTTAATATTTTCACAAAAATGTTTCAGTGTTTTTTGAAGCGTTTTTTTTGTTGTTGTTGTTGTTTGTTATCATCTGTGGTCATAATGTTTCAGAATATTTTAGTGCACATCAGTCTTGTGATTGCATTTTAAATTATATATTATATATATATTAAATTATATATATATTAAATTATAATAAATACTTTATCCTTTTATATTACGTATATATTACATTTATATTACAGATTCTTTATGTAGTATGCGAGATGAGTAAAAAGGCATGATGTCGGGAAAAAAAAAGATAATACTGTGTTCAAAAGATACCGAAACAACCGCTATATTCGAGACTTTAGTTGTATGTAATCGTAATTTTCAATACTTACATTTAAATTTCATATCCAGACTCTTCACTCTGGACTAAGAGGCTAAGCTATTATCTTACAGATATTTTTAAATAACTAATGTTGCATCCTTCTTCCTGCTGCTTATTTTGTGTTATCTAACTTACCAATCAATACATAGTTTTATTACCTGCTTAAAGCAGCTGATTCTTTGTTTTTGTTTCTATTTTTCTCAACATATTTCAGAATATGACACCCATTTTTTCTATTTTTTCCATTTTTTTGCAGATAAAAAGACCAGTCACAGAAGCAAGTCAATTGACTGCAGGCTCACGAGCACGAGGACGTTGTGTGGATGCTGCACTGTTCACTTCCTGATATTTCCACCATACCACCACCAGAGGATATCAGCCCCCTTTCTCTACCTCGCTCAGCTCCTTTTGCACAATGCAAAACCCAAACCGCACCATCTGGGCTCCACTCACGCTCCGGTACGAAAGACCACAGCTTATCTGTGTTTCGTAAATAAGTTTGCATTTTTGAACATCAATTCCTGGTTTAATAAGTACTGTAAGCAGCATATTTAGCATAAAATCTCTTATTTGTATATTTCTTTTTTTTTTTTTTTGACATTTGCTGTTGTTGATGTGAAGCTTTCACACTTCCAGGTTTAGTGAATTCAATATATTTTTTTTTCTATAACTATGGGCAAATTTTATTTTGTATTAGTTTTTGATTGCTAATTTAGATCTTCTCTAATTCACCTAAGCAAACGCCTGATGTGCTTTATGTTTGAAACTGCTTCCTAATGCAGTTAGCATTTTTGCTACTTTCAGTATTCGTAACTGCCCAATAACATGCCAGTTGCAAAATTCTACATGACAAATTATGGAAATGGTGTCTGTGAATTTTTTTTAATTTAACATAGGCGTCAAAATTCATTGACCTCCCTGCGGGTCAATTTCAGCGCTAAACATTATGTACTAATGTAAGACTCTTCTGTCTTCATTCATTAGAAAACGTCGGAAAACTGCTTCTTTTAAAATGATCCAGCACTGAACTGTACAGACCTTTAAATTAAAAGTCCTTTTAAATGATTAAAAAAAAGTATATATATATATATATATATATATATATATATATGCTCTTACGTATATGCTAATTACAGCAAACACACAAATAATAGTAATCATCATTTTATCAGGGATATTAGTTGTTGTATTGATCTGTCAGCAACAAAATTTATTTACACACACCCACATCTATATCTTCTACATCTCTCTTTCTCTCTCTCTCTCTCTCTCTCTATATATATATATATATATATCTATATATATATATATATATATGCATACGTGCATACATCTTTAATGAGGACACACTTCTGGTGAACATTTGAATGCTTTCTGTTTATTTGCTTATTTGCTGAATTTAACACATTGGAAAAAAAAACATAAAATGTGGCCTGTGCAAAAGTTAATACACATTTTATATTTTATATTTTATGCTTGCCAATATGTTAAACTCAGCAAGCAAATAGAAATTATTCACTAGAATTAAATGAAATCCTAATATTTTTAAGTTCCCTGTAGAGGACATTTTAACTTATTTCTATTTAGAAAATCAACAAAACATGTCATACCACGCGTATATATATATATATATATATATATATATATATATATAGCAATAGGTGAAAACATCCTTTATTTACAAAATGAAAGTGCTATTAGACATTTTAAAAAGTTAAAAATAAAAATTCGTCAACTCGACAAATTACACTACTTGTCCATGTAATAATGTATATCAAATGTATGGTCATTTTAACTCCCCATTTGTCTGAGGTTCTCTTAGCCTCACATTTGCTAAATTACATTAAGGCGACGCATATTAGAAAGCGCATTTCTTAGTTTATTCTGTAATACAAAACTTACTTTCACTAGTCATAATGAAGATAATATTGTTGTTTTATTTTTCCCAAGCAGGAATGCAGAGAAAAAGTGAGACTGTATAACGAGCTGCTTAGGCCGCTAGCCTGTTTTCCTTGTCCGCGCGTGATATATGGAAGACGTATGGTGGAATAAAGTCAGCATTCAGTGTTCATAAAGTTGCGAATCACATCCTTACGATATCAAAGAGACGCAGCCAGCCTCCCATATTAAGCACTGTAGCCTACTTCCGCACCATAAACAAAGAAAGCAGGCCTACCTTTGGACATGACCCTGTGGAAAACTGCTATCTCTCGCTTTTGGACAGAAGCGCCATCATTTCACTGCGCGTACCTGTGGCCATTACATGAAGAGACTCAGTCTCTGCGAGCTGTCTTTTGGAGACGAAAACGCTCTACCTGTCTCCGTGGTCAGTATAACGTGCGGCTCGCGATGAGAGAATACAACCATTGGTGGTTTTAGAATTATATGAGCTGAGAAGCGCGGAAGAGCCCATTGCGCGTTGTGCAAGGCCTTTAAAAGAGAGAGAGAGAGAGGTAAAAGCAGAGAACCGCAAAGGTCTGCGATGCTTTAGATGGTCAGAAATGGCATGGTATATCTGTGCATTTCCCCTTTTTTATGTATTTATGACACGTCATTAACTCGAGCCGTCTAGACAGGGAAATAACACCTTGTTTGCCTGCAAACAAACCGCGGGTACTCAGTGTCCAGCCCCCTGTTTATTATTCACAAGTCTCTGATGTCAAGGTCAAAGTGACTGCATAGTCACGGTCAAGGGTAAAGAGCGCGTGACGTCAAAACAGGGAAGATCATACTATCAAGCAAGGAAGAGTAACACGTTTCACACTTTCCACATCTTCGGTGTAATTGTTTTTTCGACATAGCCTCGGGCAGTGAAAATGCAAAAAAGGTGCAGGTCGGGTGGGCTGCGGCTAAAATCAACACTGGATAGCAGGCTGCCCTCGGAAGTTTGGCAAACCTACTTAAAAGTCCGTGTGCATGTGTGTGTGTACTGTGTAGACTGTGAATTAGGACGACCGATACAGGCCAAAACTCAAATTAAACTACCAAACACCATAGACTATATTAAACACACACACACACACGCACACACACACACACACATATATATATATATATATATATATATATATATATATATATAAATGAACGTGTAGATAACTTAGCGAGATATATATATATATATATATATATATATATATATTGCAATATATATAGCACTTAGCAGTATATATATATATATATATATATATATATATATATATATATATATATATATATATATATACATGCGTGTGTGTGTCGCTGCTGTCGGAACAAAACCTTTTATCTCCAAAATAACATACGACAACTTTAAAGGAAACTTTAGACTTCAAAGGAAAACATACTTTACTTTTAATGTAAGTCAATGTAGCCAGACTTTTTTCTAAGTCAAATAAAAGAATGTGCAGTGGGATAAATACATCTGTGAAAAACTATTTACATCAGCAATAACGATGCCATTTGACTCTGACTCATGACTTTAGTATAATTAAAAATAAACAATAATACAGTATAAAAGTGACGCAAATTCCTTGCTTTCAAAAAATGGTCTGAGATGTCCTGAGCTAGGTAGAGAAAAATGTTGGTTCCAGATTTCTCCTCGACGCCCCCATCGCACAGATTTGTTCAAATCCAGCACCAGTACACCTGATTTAATTTACGGACCAAGTAGCCAAAGTAGGTTTTCGGTGGTCACATAGTAATACTGGGCTTCCATAAGGAGAGATTAGAAAGTGGCTAAATGGACATACTGACATATATACATATAGAAAGCCACTACTTGTATTGTATGTTGTTTACATTTATTCTAATGTTAGTGTTTTTTTCTTGGCAAATACGTGGCCTAGTTTATATTCTCAGTCCATACCTGATTCTTCCACTCGTCTGTGCTGTCCGCTGTAGCGTTGATCTGGATGAACTTGAGAGGAAAGTCACCCCTGTTAGCGCTCAGTCTCCTGTCAGCTCTATTGTAGCGAGATGACTGTACTAATACTGTATGAATGTACCTCACACACATCCTTTAGTGTTAATATTCCCAGAAATCAGAGTTACACTTTGTTTTAACCTAATGGAAGCGATTGTAGGCCTATTAAAGCGCTCCTTAATGGCACGCAGATACAACACTGTTTCTTTCAATCGCCATTGCAATAATAATAATAATAATAATAACAATAATAATAATAATACCTGTTAAATACAGGAACCAACAGTGACACATTGTGCATTATTCTGGTTTATTGAGACTAATATTTTGATTGAAGAAGTCTTGCGCTGTAGATTCTGGCTATGGTATGTTAAAAGCTCAGCCAATTGCTTGTTTCTACTGAAGCAACGTAGTAATGTTCATAGCTGTCATCCATTAAAAGAACATTGATAGTCATTTCATAATACAAAAAGTCATATTCACAACACTCAGACGTGGCTTGAATATGGTCGGTAACGTTAGACAACATGTTCAGTGGTCAGCTCTGATGAGCCGGTTTGCGCGACCCGATGGTGTTGAAAAGTTTTGATTTGGATCTAGAATCCCAAAGAGTAAAAAAGATAGATACATTCAGGTATTGAATTCGCCACTTTAAAACTATTTCTAAGGCGATCTTAACGCTCTGATGCTTCTCGGAATCTGCGAACAGATCGGATAACGTATATGTGACCAAAGGAAAAAAAGAGTATGAAATATTTGTATGTTAATAAACCTCTTTTCTTGTTGCGATTCTTCTTTTATTTCTACCTATTACTTTATTTAATTGTAAATCGGGCCTTCCAGTGGTCATATAAAACATCCGCGCACTACTGGTGCCCGCATGTTGACTACAGTGCTGACCCCATGACTTCTAGACATGAGAAAGCAATCTTAATACATTATTATATTGAAGCGAAATGCTCTTTTGTGCTTGGTTTTGTATATATGGTCAATGCCAAAAACAGTTTCCAGTCGCATAGTACTTTCCAAAAAATAGCCATCTTCCAAAAGAAATTGTTTTATGGCAATAGGGCCCGCTCTTAGTTTTGCATTTTTTTTTTTCAATATTCAGGCAAAACAGACCGAAACCATTGCTTCAAAATGAGTAGTTATCATGGATCAACAACAATTTCGATAGGTTTTCGATATTAGCTTGGCTCACTGAGCGAAAAACGCTAAACTCAATCATACTATGCAATCAGATTCTAAATCAGAGCCATTCATTCGACTGATGACAGAATTGCCTTCAGTGATAATTAGCACTCAATCATAGGTAGTGAAGTAAATGCGATGATTTCCGTTGTCATTATTTATTTAAGAAACACGTCTCCATTCAGTACTTCAGGAATTAAACAGCACAATACAGTTCACATACTGCACAAAAAGAGGTACAGACTTAACAAGTTTGTGTGAACAGCCCCGATGCTTGACGATATATATATAATTCTATATATAAAACAAGAAAGATTGTGCATTAACGTGTAATACTAAATGTTTGAATCGCTTACAATCATTCCAGTTGCATGGCAGAGACATACAATTCACTGCTAAAAAGGGGGGACACAGATGATCTGGAAACATTCCACTTTACAGCCCTGTCATTGGCGAGAATAGGAATTAAATAATAAAGGCATTGCACTGTACAGTTAAACGTTAGCAGCCTGGTTTACCCTCGGCATTAAAAAGTAATGTATCCCACAGTGAAACATTTAGCTTTTGAAACCTCGGAGGCTTATTTGGAGCAAAGCTGAGATCTCCCGCGACCACAAAATGCGGAGAGATCCCACATTGTTCGTTTTGCTGTAACCGCTCGAGTTTTGTTCAAGTTCTCGTTCAGCCTCAATCTCGGCATTTGAGTTATTTCTTTGCTAGTCCTTGTGTATCTTCTCGCGATTGGCACTGGCTGTATACACACCAATGAACAGACGTGGAACAGTTCGCTGTTTGAAGATGGCACGTAACCCAAGTGTCCCTTCGAAACTCAGATATCATTTTAAATATTATATATTTATATATGTACATTCATAGAAAAAAAAGGCTTAGTTGAAATGACTTTCCAATATTTTTTTTCACAGTTTCAGGGCATTGCATATGTCCCCAAAAGCTTAAGCGTGAGCGGCTGTGTCGTCGTGTGCATGTTTTAAATTAAATAAAGTGGAGCAAGATGGGGAGGGTAGGACGTGGCCTCGGGCGCATGTTCTTCATTCATGGTTTCTGAGAAGAGGTAAATAGCAGACTGTCAAGAACGCAAAAGAAAATTCAGCCAGGCATTCCGTTAAGTGTGCATGTGGTTGTTCGACTTGGATTTGCTGACAAGTTTCTTCTCCTTCACCCTGCGATTCTGGAACCAGATCGTGACCTGCCGCTCTGACAGGTTGGTCGTGGCCGAGATGCGTCGCCGTTTGTCTTTGGTGATGAACTTGCTGGCCGCGTACTCCTTCTCCAGCTCCTTCAGCTGGATCTTGGTGTAGGGAACCCGCTTCTTGCGTCCTCGCCGGTAACTGCTGACCTCAGGCTGCAAAGGGACCACGTCTGCCAAAGAAAACAGCAAAGAAATGCCTTTTATAGACTATCAAAAGCCTTTGCTTTGAAAAATCCCAATAATTGGCGCACATATCGCACATGAAAAGCACCCAAGTTCAGAGAACTTCACTCAAAGGAAGTGGCATTTAGTTCCAAATGTGTTTACTCAAAGGAATTGGGAGATATTTCAGAATGTGGAGAGAGGTTCTTCAATTTTGGGCAGAGACATTTGTGAAAAAAGATCTGTATTGTTTACTAGATCAAAAACACAGTTTTAATGTAGTCAAATACGCGTTTGACTACACTAAAAGTATCAAGAATAGCCACCATAGCTACCTATGACCTATTCTTGATTTATATATATATATATATATATATATATACACATTATTTTTTTATTGGCTGTTCCTCCATGAGGTATTTTATATAGATATAAAGGAAAAGAATAGCCAAGACACCACCTGCCTAGTGCAACATTATGTGCGCATATGTGCATATATATATATATATATATATATATGTGTGTGTGTGTGTGTGTGTGTGTGTGTATGCAAGCTGTTAAGCTATTGAAGCTAGTATACAGCGTCCCATTTGAAGACGGTGGGTTATTTTTAAATTAGCTCTTTCTCCATGAAGTTAGCATAAAATATGCTGTCGATAACCCAGAACAGGTATCAGGTATTTCATATAGATATAAAGTAAAAGCATAACTTAGACAGTAATGATGATAATGAATGAATGAATGAATGAATGAATGCATAGATAGAATAGAATAGAATAGAATAGAATAGAATAGAATAGTGGGTTATTTTTAAATGAGCATGAGCTCTTTCTCCATGAAGTTAGCATTAAATATGCCGTCGATACCCCAGAACAGGTAAAAGCCAGTTTGCTCTGTACACCAGAAAATGAAGACAACCCACTTGCATCACCCTTTTATGCAAATGATTGCACCTGTATCTTCCAGGTAGTCTAAAGTGGCAAAACACATTGCGGTTAAAGAGGAGGCCGCCTTAATTGTGTCTCATGAGAACCAACCCAAAAGCAACCCCTCTTATTTGTATTCCAATATGGCTTACTCATTGTTGAGGTAAAATAAGGTAAAGGATGGAGTTCACCTGTCATGATGGGCCTGCTTGAGTGCGGGCACTAAACACTTTTAGTTTAAAGCTGACATCCACCTTTTCTCCCTCATTAAGATGATAGATAATGCGCTGGTGGCATTTCCTCTAGTTCACAATATATTATTGTCCCGCGGATGTGGAGGAACTGTGGGGAGAGATAATCGCAATATGGTGGAGGGGATGTGAGAAGAAAAGAAAACAGCCCCATCTTTATCTTCATCTCCTGAATAGGAACAGGAAAGGGAAAATACTGAATAATAGTAGCTGGTCACTATTTTTGCGTGACTTTTGCGCCTGAGCAGTGTTTGTGGATGTCATATGCGCTCTACAAGTGCGCGTGCGCCGTGAACGTGTATGACCTGTCTGTCGGTCTGTCTGTCTCTCTGTGAGGATTCTCAATAGACGTCACACTGAATGGTGGCGACAAGTATTCAGCGTTGAGCTGCAGCGTCTTAAATTCACCAACAAACATTTCAGGCCATATTAAAACCCAATTAGTCCAGTTCTATTTGTTCACATATCAGTGCAGCTTCATTAAATAACGTGAACTGTAACTCTGTGTGCCACTATGCTTGAGCGCATGTGGAGTAGTTTTTTTCACAGGCGCAAAAGCAAAAACAACCGGACTTGCACGCACTGCATCAGCCAGTTAATGAAAAATGGATTCTGGCATCTGCAAAGCGTCCATGACACATGGCGGGGCCACCGCTCCTCGGACACTACTGACAAAGATTCAGCGATTTATAGGCGCAGTGCAAACAGGACTGGCCATATTATCATACAGGAGGAGTAAAGGTAGCCTGTGTTGCCATACCCATCCCCGACCTGCACGACTACAAGGCTTAATTTCATTTGCAGACGTTCTCTGACTTTATCATATCCTAGTTAATATTTGACCAAACCTCTGTAGAGCAATACGTCATATAAATGATGGACCATTTTATACATCTGCTTTGTTGTATGGAAGGAGAACATTGTTTTGCCTTCCTCAAACTACAGCAGTGATTGATCATTTACCACTCAGCCCAGTCAACGCCATCAGGGCAAAATGTTAGGAAAGCATGCAAACAAACGCTTTTGACAGTTTTATGTGTAGATCTAGTTAATGGTTCTCCCCACAATCTACGGTTCACATGTGTTTCAGATCAACACTGTTTATTTCCTTCCCAAAATGTAAATGTAGATATTTCCAACAAGGGCAATTTTCATACCAGAAAACAACCGTAGCTCAAATCCAATTACGCAATCACGCGTGTCTGAGAAAAGTGGGAATTGTCTAGCAAGAACTTCTATACATTGAACATATCTGAGAACAAATCAGAGAAAGTATACCTGGAAAAGGAGATTTCCAGAGATGGGACGACTGCGTTTGTTCCTTTGAGCAGTACACCTGCCCATCCCAGCCGTTCGAGAGAGCCCAGTGCTGGTAACCCTCCATGGGAATCAGCGCGTCGTGCCGCGGCTCGGGATGCGCGCTTATGCTGGGCACCACGGACACGTCCAGATAGCCGGGGACCGCCTGGTACGAGCCGGCGAAGCTGGGGTAGAAAGTGAACTCCTTGGCTCTGCTGGAGAGCTCCTCGGTGGGCAAGGCGCCGCTGGGCTCGGCGTACTTTTCCGCCGGGTGATACGAGCACGGCTTCTGCTGCAGGTTGACGTTGTGCGAGTGCGAGAGTCTGCAGCCGTAGTACGGGTTGCCGAACGGGTAGCCGTAGCCGAGAGAGGCGCTGGACGAGGTCTGGGGCGCGGGACACTGTCGCCCCGCGTCAGGGGAGGATATATCCGAATAGACGGAGCCCTGGTGGGTCGCGATTGTGCCCGAGTGTCGCCCCAGCGCGGGGTGCGAGATCAGGTCCCTGCAGTGGCTGGCAGGGCAATTCCCGCTCAATCCCTCCATGGTCTGGCTTTTATTCGGGCTACTTTCATTCGGGCTTTTTTCGTACACGTACATCAAGGTGTCCGCCCAGCGTGGATGCAGGACCAGCGAAGTCGTCATATCACGGGCTGCCGATGCTTTTTAAAAGTCGACTACTCCAAGACGATGCCTCATTTTCCAACTACAGTTTTACGCGCGCGCGCATGCGCACGACGACCCCTTCGGCGCGTCCGGTTCATTAAAGCGCGGGCACGTGATATGCTAACGACACCGGGGAGAGCGACGCGGAGGGGCGGGTGGAAGAATCCCTTTAAGCGCGCGCTGGCTGGCATTTCACTGCCTCCTCCTGAGGCGCTCTGCGCGCGCGCATTGGCCGAGCGCGCCCCAGACAGCGACTCTTAAAGGGGAAGGCGAGGAGAGCTCGAGTGAAGGCTAGAGGAAAACAAGCGCGCGCCTTTTAGCCGACAAGCATGTGCAGAAAGCAGGCACTGATTTTGGGATTTTGATTCCCCCGCAACAAGAATCGAACTTAAGCATCTGTGTTAACATATACCAACACGATCAAGCCCAAGAGCTTCCAGATCTATACCCCAAAAACTAAGTAGAGTGAATAGTCTGCTGTTCGTTTGGAATATATACGAGATTATTTTGCTATTACTATTTTTCCCCTGTCATACTTTAACTCCACTTGAAACAGTTGCTGAAAGACAATGTAAGTGAATGATTATAATTTTTAATATAACTGTAATGCTCTACTGCTCTCCTAACACTTATTGTATTACATGCAATTTCAAGTAGGAAATATGCATTTATCCATATGCATTTCTGATTTCCACTGCAAGCCATATTTTTAAGGGAAACAACCGTTTGGCCAGTTGAAAATAGATACCGCCTATCCATCCAATATATTAAAAAATAAGAGAATGCGATATAACTTATAACTTGAAGAATATATATTCTTTTTTATTCGTTGGCTTGATTGCTCATTCTGGACGGATGAACAGGTAAGGGCGTTTAAAAAAAGACTAATTATTTAAAGGTAAAATTGAGGTCATTGTTAAATTCTGCAGTCATTGCATTTTTGCGTTTTGTAGCGTGTCACGACGTATCTTCATTGTTTTGAAATGTAAACTGAATGGTCAATTGCTATATTTCATCACTGTACTTACAATATGAATCAATTGCTGTAGGCTCTGCTAGATGTTATACAGGGCTTTGTAAGCAATTGCGTGCCTACTGCATATAATATTAACCAAAAAGGACAATTCTTTGTATTTATATTAGCGCTCAGTGGTTTGAAAATAAAGGTTTGAAGATAAACAAGCCATTCCTATGTGGTGTCATTGAGCAGATTATTTGCAACATGAATGGACATGAAATGAAGTGCGAGCTTAACTTGTGGAACAGGGTCATTTTCCAATGTGGAACCCGGCGAATATGTAGCTTGAAGTTATCTCACAAGCAAAAGCATACCTATTGCAGACTTTCTAGTCGTTGGAAACTACCTCAGCTGTACAACCTAGCGCACTTCACTACAGTTTATATGCTATAGCAATGGTATAAGCTACACTAGCATCCGGTGTTTCGCTTTTGTCATGCATTGCATGCTTCCACCAAAAATGCAACGGATATGAAGTAATTGCATTTGTTGCAGCAAACTAATCCAGCTCTGGACGGACGAATGCGGACGGCTCTTCCAAATGGCAGCTGCACGGAAGTCCAAGGTCAAGGTAAAAAAGCGCAGACACACAGGGTCGTAATCAGAGTCTAGACAGACAAGAATGAACTTCACACTCGGCTGCATGAAAACTTCGGCGCAACTGAAAGGCTGTGAGTTAGAACGTCGGTAAGGAAAAGGGGGTCAGATATTGCAATGCTGTGGATCCTGAATAATCCTGGCTCTAATAGAACATGACAAGTGTTAAAGGTGCGCAGAAAGACAAACACGACAAACAACACCGGCTAATCTGCTGCCTAACTCCGCAAAGGCGACATTTTTTAATCTGTAAAAGATCCGTGTTAATCTAAACTGAGTTTGTTAATCTGGGTTTAATGAAATGCTTAGACGAACCCACTTCAGTTAGGTCTAGTCTGTTTATCTGGATCAAAATAAACTCTGTTCTGTTCTTCAAAGCAGTGGTCGGTGCACATTTTTGACTACCTATTGGTGATGTTGACGTCCTTTTTGATGATTATACATGTCAATAAGTGCCAAAATGAAAAATAAATCTTGATATTTCATAAGCATGGTCATAGTTCGACAAAAAAAGAGGAATAAGTGAGGAACCAACCAGGGACAAAACTGCAGATTTGTAGTGGTGTATTTTTTTTTACCCATTGGAATTCATACTGACGCAGGAGGAAATGTTATTTGTTCCCAATCGAGTTTGAATTGGCTATTTGGTATTCTAATACTGTTATAGCAAAAAAAAATTTTAATACCCCTTTTGCAATTCATTTAATTCATCAAAGTTGACGCACATTTTACTGGGAATTTTGCAAGTAGGTACTCGACCCACAGTCCTTATTGCTTTGCTATAGCAAAAAATTATTGAATGCTCTACAACCTGAACTAAACGAAAATGAGCATGCACACATATATTATACGTAGTCAGATTTAACAATGGCAATGCGGATGTTATCTTCAATAATAAGCAGTTTGCCTTCTGCAAAAAAAATAAAACATTTGCAGGCTAGAAGTCTGGAAGACATTGATTTAAATGATTACAGGTTTGATCGATGCTTAAATATTTCTAATTATGGTCCAAAAAATCCACGTATGCTATTATAAGCCAATGTTTTGAAATGGGGATTTAATTGAGAGCTATTCTTTAACAACGAAATGTAATTGTATCTGTATATATATATATATATATATATATATATATATATATATATATAATATATATATATATATATATATATATATATATATATATGTATATATATATCTGCCTATATATATCAATTATTAACAGATATTTAACATAGTGTGAGAAATATAAATGAGGGACTTAATGCCTACAGAATTCGCAGTTGGGGGACTCTCTTTGTATCCCCTCCACTATCATAGAAACTAAGTGTTACGTACAGTACATGCCATTATAAGACTGGTAGTGAATGCTCTGAATGCTGCTGAATTGAATGGTTTTCTAGACAGTAGCAGAGAAAATGTGAAAAAAAGGCTGAACTGTCTTATATTGAATAGTTAATGGACTTCAGGCGTCACTTTTTCTGTTATTGTTGTTTAGAAAACTATTGACGGCCTTGTACTGCCATGTTTACAGTCATTCTGACGGCCACGATCAGAATAACAACAGCAAAGTATGAGTGGTATAAGTTTCACTGAGTCTTAACACACAAAGCATTGCTGCAATACTGCAGTCTCTCTCTGTCTCTGTCTCTCTCCCTCTCTCTCTGTCTGTTGTGTGTGCGTGCGTGCGCGTGCGTGCTTCTTCCTGTCTGCATTTCTCAGTTTCTCCATTACAAATAACTCTATGTAAGCTTCTGTCAAAAGAAGAAGCTAAAGTCATAGTTTGCACAATTTAAAACTGTCAGCAGAGTGATCAGTTCAGCAGTACACACTGATATATTTCAGCCAATGAAATGTCAGTCTTGCAGAAACAGTTGCTAAATGTGACATTAAAATGTAGAAGCAAAGCTTTTTAGTTGGCGGTTTGGTTGGTAGGTGAAGGCATCTGCGTATACTTTGTGACCTTGCAGCATTTCCAAACAGTCTGTTTGTAACCTTTACTGATGGAATGTTTGTTTAGAGCGCTTGATATTTTTCCACAGCTGCAGATGAAATATTAAATGTTAAGTATTTTATTAAGTATTAACTGCATACTGCTGCAGTGGCGAACTGGTAATGGAACTGGTGGGTTGTACAGTTAATCTAAGGCAAAATAAACCATTGATTGGTGTATGAACAATAAAGTGTTTGTTTTCCATTTTTTTTATTCGATCTGTTAAAAAATTTGCCAAAATGAAGCACAAATGGAACAAAACATAACTCTGAAAAAATGCTATATTGACATCCGTTTTGGTTTGGCCAGTTATCAACTGAAGCCTAAATGAACAAAGGGCCTTTTAAAAAATACCCGCTAGTGATGCATAATGGTTTTCTTCTGCCCTTCTCATTTGATCATATTTTCATTCCACGTTTCAGCTCCATGGTAACCCAAGTTTGGCTTCACGTTTGAACAAGCATTTCATCATCGTTCTTGTAACGAGAAAGTACTGCTAAGCATTTCACTCTTTCATTCTACATGTATGTAGAAGAGCTCAGACCTTTGAGGGTTCTTTGAAAGCGAGATTATATTTATGGAAAAGTATTTGCCGTGTATTCCATGCTCTGTCTGTTATTTTGTATAAATTATACGCAATGTAAACCAGACTGTCGCTAGCTACGTGTTCCCGTTTTGGGGAGCAGGACTGCAGAAAGCGGGCTAATCATACACAGCGCAGCCTGTCGATCATAGTGACAGACAGACAGGCATCACGCATGTCGCCAGCTTCCAATGAAAACGCACATGCACGCAGTTATTGCAGATTGCATTGCCTCTAAGTATTTTTGCACGCTATGGGAAAAACGGATGAATAGCAGTGAAATTCACTTGCATGATGTGGCCGCAGATTTTCAAACGTGTTCGTCAACATAGAGACCTTGCCATTGAAAGATTTGGGAAGAGGAATTGTTGGAGCTGTGCGCCTCGGTTGTCATGGAGAAACTGAAAAATCGATGGCCGCCCTGGTTAAAGCTCCCCAGACTCAGCCCTATTAAAACCTGGCCTTGGTGTCGGTTTCCTCCGCGCACAGAGCGTGTGTGGGGTTGTGTGTGTCCACTCTCCACATACGTGAACGCAAATGTATTATACACACTGGCATTACATGTTCGACCAGTTACACTTAGTGATCGCCCCGCAGACTGGTCTCCACGCTAGTCTCATTTGGTAACCACAAGATTTGTTTTCCCTTAAAATCCTGTTCTGGACATATTACGAAACATTTTACATACCTTGCCAGATGTAGTTTATGATCTATGCATATGTTCTCAGCCTAATGTGATTCAGAGGGACGTATTGCTTAAAGCGTCTTTACATCATAGAATAACACACCAGCGATGATATTGCTACTTATATCTTCCATTTGTTGATGCTGAAAGAAACGTTGAGGAATTCCACCAATTTTGACCAAGAGGTGAACAGTCATTCAGAGTGTTTTGATGTGAAATGCTCTGTTCTAGAGAAACCGAGTCAAAACTGTTCACAGTGGTGGCGACAGGAACCAGACATCCACCTCCAAAAGCTCTCTCAAAGATAGTAAATGCATTAAATGGTTATGAATACGACCACGCATGAAACATCATTTTAGGATAAATATATATGAATAAAGCATTTTTAAAAAAACATTATTTATGGTGAAGAGGGACATTGTGAGGCAACATAGTCCGTGACGAAAATTATTTTTAAAATTTTTATTTCACAATTGTATCTTTAAAATCTGAGACGACATGTAGATTCACTGGTCATTTGGGTGCAAAAATGGCGGTATTTGCGTTGTAAACATTGCAACACCTGGACCCTATCACCAGCACTGTAAAGAAATCCAGCTCGGTGAGTTTCTCTACAGTGAACCACTTCAAGTCAAACCACTCTGAATGACCAAGGATTTAATTTTGCAGAAATGTTGAAAAATTGGTAATTAAAAAAAAATTGGAAACTGATCTTTACAAAGAACCTTCTTCATAACAACAGATCTCATTAGAAACCACAGTCTCTCCAATGCTGACACCTTAACCATCTAAGTGTATCCTAAGCAGCCATGCGTCTACAGCACAAATAGACTTGACTCCAAACGAAACAGCATTTAAAACACGGGTTCCTGAATGATTCTTCACTTGAATGTACGCTTCCAGGAAGGTCGGTTAATAAACATAGATCCTTTACATTAAGTGGAGTTTATTAAACTTTTTAAAAATATTCTTCACAGTCGCACATCTCATTTACATACCATCCCTGGGTTCTTTATGGAACCAACAGTGGTTCTGTATAACAGTGGTTATATAGTGAGTACTGGTCAGTTGGTAGTGCCAAATTGTACGAAGAGTGCTCTTTATTGGATTTCTTCGGCGTGAAACACGCTCCCCAGTAAAATCAGAAAGATCATAAGTAGATTTACTTTTAAAAATTCACTAAAACAAAATTTGATGAACCTTATATAGATGTTGTTGTAGTATTGTTGTTTTTGAATTTGTTGTTGCTTTTTGGGACATTTTTGTTTAGGTAGGTTTAGGTTCAGTGTAGGTTGTTATTGTTTACTCTTTCATTTGTTGAGTATTTGACTTATTTTGGAGTTTTGCTTGTTTCTGCTTATGATACAGACTGTTTCTTTGACTTTGATTGCGATTGTGGACCTCAGGAGGGCTAGCGACCGGGTAATGGAAGCTAATGGCGAGCCACGCCATCCCACCAAAGAACCCTTTTGGGCACCTTTGTAAAAAGTGTAGAGTCCATGCTACACTGGCAGTCCTTGCAACATTAAACAGATCTATGTAATGCGCTCTTGGCGCACAGGGGCCACACCTTTTTTGCCTGTGCACGCACAATCCTGCAGAGGGAGGGGAAGGAGTCTGTGGTGCAGTGGGTGGGGGTGGGGGGGGGGTTGTTGGGGGTGTTGGGGGGGTGGGAACGAGCTCTTATATGTAACTCAGATGAATTTACACCCCGTC